AGGGGTCCTTTTAGCATGCCCGGTGGAAAAGGCCATGCTTCTGCAGAGAAAGAAGTTTCAAATAGTCACATCAGTGGCTTGTGAAATGCCAGTAAAGTTGTCCTTAATGACTGACAATATCATGTTCAAGGCTTTTCCTGGGAAGACTTCAAAGTTCCTGTCCCAATTATCATGCTCTGTCTCATACCACCACATTCTGAATTCTTGGGCTGGTTAATCATGCTGAGGTAGCAGAGGAGAACAGTTCTCTGGAATAGACAGTTTGACATGGTTTATGACCATCATAGGAGACTGGCCATTGCTGAAGATGGCCTGTATGGGGAAAATGGGGAAAGGCATAGAGGCTGGAGGTTACGAGCCTATGTAATGCATCTGGACAGGATCCCAGGCAAGAATGGAGAATGGAAGAATGGTTCCAGAAGGCTCCAAAGAGGAAAGCATCCACATGAGAAGCATAGTATAAATCCATCCCCAGACATGCAGAATGTGAGATGGAAGCTGACTCCAATCCTGGAAGACAGAATACTAGGAGGTAATTACTTTCAGCAGAGTCAGGTCTTCAGAGAATGTGTTCTGAAAGCTGGTGACAATGTACCATATGACCTCACATTTGTAATCCCAGGAATACCCTCTTGTTTTCATTCGTACACCTATGTGTGCAGATTCACAAGAGCCCCATTCCTAAGAACTTGAAGTGGAAATAGCCCAAAGGTTCAGCATATGAACAGGCAAGCAAAGCATGTCTCTGGATACAGAGGATTATTCAACTGCCACAGGATTGGCACTCTGGCCCATACCATGACATGATGAACTTGAAAACATCAGTGAGTGAAAGAAACCGGAGGTCAAAGACTACTGGAAGATTATATGAATGGACAGATTAATAGAAACAAATTGTCAGGATCTGAAGAGAGGGATGGTGGGAGTTACACTTAGGGGATAATGTGTCTTCGTGGGGTGGTGAAAATGGTCTGGATTGGATAACACTTATTTTTGTCCTGTACACCAGGTCACTGGATTAGTTACTCAAAACAGTAAAATGTTTGGTGTTCTTTGTATCTCAAAATTATTTTTGATAAATGGATTGCATTTGGCAAAAGAATAAAAATTGAAGCCCTGTGCTAGAGATGCCCCCTGGAAAGGTAGTTCCAGGGGATTTTCATGACTAGAAGGATGGACTCTGATGGAAGTTCTTAGAGGAAGAGACCACCGGACCACATGGAATAGAAACAGATCTGAAATGATCTATATCATTAAAGAAATGATTAAGGAAATCAAATAGTGGAAAACATAACTAATTCAGGACAGGCAAGAAGAGAAGTGAATTATTTTAAAGTACTTTTACTGCCTTGAAGAAAGACTAGGAATGGTGTAAAATTTTAAGCCTTCAGTATTTGAAAACCATATAGAAACATGATGCGTAAATATCTGTAAAGACTAGAATGCATGCTCAAGTGCTAATAGCCCTGGCCTTGTCCCTTGCAGAACATCACCCAGCAGTTTGAGAAAGGTATATATTCTTAGGTGTTCTCTGGAGCGTTGCTGAAGAACTTAGCCTGTCACAGGCATTGAGCCATGTGTGTGTCCTCTGGCCAGATGGAACTAAGGCAAATTTTAATGAGGAGAAAACATCCCATCAGTCAAATCAATAAAAGTAGACTCATGAAGATAGCCTTCTTTGAATGACAGATTGAGATGTCAGAAAAATGGAATATATCAGGTGTGCTAAGAAAAATCTAAAGACAAACTTGGGATGGAGAATTAAGTCTAGATTCAAATGACAAAACCAACATTGGTGCTATGGGAAGATTATACTTAGAGGACTCCATTCACACAGATGTTCAAACAGTTGATTTAACCTGGTACAACCAACCAGTCAAGAAGGATGATGGGCACTAATTGTCTTCGGAGGTCTTCACAGATACCTCATGCACTGGAAGGTGAAGCTGTCCCAGAACTGTATCGATGGATTGAGAAAAGGCAAATGGGATGACATCTAAGACCTCAACACCAGAATGGGGTGAGATAGTAGAGAAGGAAAGAAGGAAGGAAGAAGATTTAGCTTGTGAGTGTCTGAGCTACCCCAAAGCATGAGCAGGCTGTGCTTAGTGAAAGCAAAGGATGTGTCACCCCACCCAGATTGAGTTGGGTTCATGCATACATGCTCAATACAATGTTTTGAAAGTCATTCTGACTTACTATGGTAATATCACCATATGGTTATCTTAAACAGAAAAAGGCTATGTAAAATTTACTTCTTTATGGTTAAGGGGACTTTCAGCAAAGTTGCAATCAATCTGATCAAAGTCATCTATAAGAAACCTGTGACAAATATCCTCTGAACTTGGATTTGGAAAGCTTTTTGAACATGTGGCAGATGAGGATGCCTAAAACCTTGGTTATTATGCATAATGGCAAGGATTAGTTAGCACTGAGTAGCCAGATGAGATTGGAAAGCCAGACATGAACCTCCTCTATCTATAGATACTATGGATGTGTACACCTGACAGCTATCACAGGAACTGACCGAGAAAGCTGTGAGTGGGCCTTGTCCTGGGTGTTAGCCACAGGCCACTTAGAAATCAACTCTCATCTCAATACAGAGACAGTTCAGTTGCTCTTTAATGCTGTTTATTACAGACTCCTAGATGCTTCAACCCACAGAAATAAATCTTAACAAGAGATGCTGAGGCAGCTGTTACTGCACTAGAGAAAAGCCAAGGAAATGCAGGGTGGGCAGCTCACGAGTCAAAGCATCATTTGTGAAGGTGTGGGTTCTCTGAATGGTGCAGCCAGTGAAGTTTCAAGTAGAAGCAAGTAGGAGCTTCTGCAGCAGTGGACAAGAGTAATGGCTGGAGAGATGGCTCTGTGGTTAAGAATGCCCCCTTTGAGTTCCCCCACTCCCCCCACTCCCATGGCAGGCATACACAGATGAATAAAAAATAAATCTTTAAGAATGACAGTTGTCTGTCTTGGTGGAACTGTGTGTAACCCAGCAGCAGATTGTGTGGAACACTGTGACACTTAGGACAGAGACCCATAATAAGGATATGAGGCTGCTGGGACAAGGGACACAAGTTCCACAATGAAGCTGGTGGCAGCTGGAATCTCCCAAGGAGCTAAATGTGGGGATGTAGTAAACTAGGTGGTGAACTCTGACCTTGGCTAGGGCAAAGGTCATTTGCTGGATATAAAAGTCTGGAGTAAAGGAAAAGCTGGCAACGCTGAGCTCACTCCAGAAGACACTGCTTAGGTGCACACAATGGCACAGGTGTTCTACATGAGAGAGGCCCTGTCTTTTAAAAACAACAAAACTGTTAAAGGATATCCCAGCACCTAGGAGAGACTGGCCCCATTTCCTTAGTACATATGAGACTCAGCAGATCTTCTGAGAGTCTGTGAGTGATAAAGACAGCTCCACGGTTCAAGAGGACCTGAGGGGCAGAGGAGGTCTGGTCTTACTAAAGTTTTCCAGTTACAGAGAGACTACCATTGACTGCTGAGATTCTGTTCTGCCTTAATAACAAAAAGGCAAAGGACTGAAACATACCCACCAGATCTCTATGTGCCTAATAAACATAAGAGGATTGGCCTCACTGCACTGAGATACCTTTTAAACCACTATGGTTTACTGGAAATGCCTGCAGAGGTAAGAGTGTGGACAATGGCACCTCCTGGGGTGACGTGACGGCTTCAGTCTCCATAGAGGGTGTACTAGCAATTTCTAGGGAGCACAGGTGCAGGGCCAGATCCCAGAGCTCTGCTGGCGCAGGGGTGACCTTTCCCCAGCCTGTGATTACTGTCAGACAGCACTACACTGCCCCAGGAGACTTGGGCAGAGAGGAGAGCAGGTCACTCCCTGCAGTCACACTGACAGGTTGGATTGACACGTCTAGTATGGACTGGGGCAGTATGCCTCATCTGCCTTATCAACTGCAGGCATTGCCGGTGGGAGGAACTCCACAGACGAGACTGTAACCTGGCCATGGCGCATTCTGTTCTGATGTGCTCAACTAGACACGGGACCAAAGCTGCTTGCTAGCAGCTCTGCACTGCAGGGGCTCCTATGACAGAAGGAGCAGGGTGCCAGCCCTGGGAAGATCAAAGTGGCACCCTTATGGGCAGGATAACTAAGAGTGGTGGCCGAGAAGATACCTGTGTCTTTTGTCCAAATAGCACACGATACAGGCAGTATGAGGAAGTCTGAACAGGAAATACATAATGGGACATTCCTTAGTCTTTGGACACAAGAGAGTGTTACTTCCAAACTAATGGGGTGGAGAAAATTGCAGCCAGGAAAAATAGCCTGCCAGTCCAAAGAAGGGACAGGGCACAGGAGTGTCATGATGATAGTCGAGCCCCTGAAGGGACATTTGAAGCACTGAAGAAAGGGAAGCTCAGGTGAGGAAGGGGTGCGCACTTGGGAGTTGGGGATAATTGGGGTCATTTTTCTTTTGGACTGGGTGGCCAATCAGACCTGAGTGGGTGTGCTGGGCCTTACCACCCTTACAGCTAGTTGGAAAAGCATTGGACCAGACAGCAAAACTTACAGGCCCCAATGGACCCCTTTTCTTTGGGTGGGTTCTGGTAGGGTACACCTGACTTGCAGGGCAGCCCCTTAGCTAACTTGTATTGTCTCAGTTGCTGATAATAGGCTGGCCCCCATGGGAGAGACTGCTGGTGTCCCCAGCAGCCTGGTGGGAACAAGTGCCAATCCTTTTGGGAGGAGGAGGAGGAGATCAGATTATATCCACAGGCACTTTCACAGACAGAAGTAATGAAGCACAAATGAAAACCCCAGGCAGCAGTAGACAACAGAAACATACCAGAAAGGCAGATGCTGCAGTCACCCCAGGCAGGCTTAAAAATAGCTCTGCTGGCACCGCAGTGATGAAGGACTTGTGAAGAATTTAAGCAATGAACCAAATGGTGATTCTGCAACTAGACAACAGATGAACAGACACACAGATAACTGCTGTAACAGCAGGTGAGCTGTCAGAGGAGGGTGATTGGTGAATGGGAAAGAAAGTAGAAAATACCCAGGATGCAATGTGTTCTTCCAAACCTTGGGCGGCAGGGATGTCCTGATATCTCTCTCTCTTCCAGACGGTAGGAAGGACACAATGCACTCCCCACACTTAGGAGGCAGGTATGTCTTCAACTTGCAGACCTGAGGTCAGCAGAGAAAGAATCTTACAGTATCTTCCTCAGAAATAACTGAAAGACACAGACAAAGGTTAGCAAATCAAAAACTGTGAGGTGCCAAGTACTCATGGGGGTTCTGTGTATTTTGTTTTCAGTGTCCTGACAAGCTTCCTAACTCATTGTCTAAGTCACCGTTAGATGAACACAATGACTCAAGCCCTTCACGTGCTCATCACAGTCACATCATGTCCAGTATACAGAGTGCTTTGATTTGATTTGGCATGATTTGATTTAACATTGTGAAAACATAAGGACGGTTCATGAAACCATCTCAGCAAAAACTGCTTTAAAAAAATTATCATCCACTTAAAACACTAGAGAAACTCAGACATTCTAGAAGCAGAAAGAACTTCCTTCATTTAGTGAGGGTTTTCACCAAAACTGGAAACCCACAGCACGTGGACCTTACTCTGTGATCAGAAACAGGCGAGCTGACACCTGTGTGCAGGATGCACAGGAGAAGATAACAGACAGGAGGCCCAGGAAAAAGCAAAATTCATTTGCAGTCAATTCTAGAAAATTCTAGGTCGCTGCCAAAGATGAAGTGTAGAGTATCTGTAACTCCCAGAGATGAATTAACGGGTTAGAAACCAATATTCACAACATTGCTGTGCCTCTGTCAGCAGTCATTTAAAAATAAAAGCCATCATTAAAATAGCCTAAGCTGGTATGGTAATGCTTGCCTACTATCACTGGTCTCAGGAGGCTGAGGCAGGGGGATTGGTTAGGCGTTTGAAGCTACCTGGGCTATATAACAAGTCCCTGTCTAAAAATCATAGTGTCAGAAATGAATGCAACTAAAGGCACATAAGGTGCTATAGGAAATTCTTACCACAGCTTTGAGGTACAGACCTAAGCACAGGCTGCCCTGTTCCTGCACCGTGGTTTTCAGACATAATGACCTCCAGCCATGTATAACCTTGATCCTAGGTGCTTGGTTACACCCTCCACTGCTCCTACCTTAAAGTTAGAGAAAGTAAACTCTTACCTACCCTGTCCTTGTGAGCTGGGAGGGGAACACTAACTGGCTACATGTCTACTGATGTTCTCTTGCCCTAGGTTTTTCTACCGTCTCCCACCTCACTCCACCACCACAGTGCCACACATTCTACTGAATCAGAAAAAAAATGCCACAGTTCTGCTGCCTCACCATGTACCCCCCCCCCCACTGTCCTCTTTGCTCCCACAGCTCATCACTGTCCCCTAAAGCAGACAGCAGGCATGGTTCACGGCCTGGACATGGATCAACTGGGCAAGGGGAATGGGGAGGTCATGGAGATGAGGGCAGGGGAGAAGGTGGAGGGAGTGGTAGCCAGTAGAAGCTTGAGGGCTGCAGCAGCACCCATCTCCATCTCTTGTCCCCTAGAGTCACACCAGGCTGTCACCATATATCTGGCACCCAGGAGGATAGGACGGATGATGGATTGCTGGCAATGTATCCCCATCGAGTTTTATCTGAGACCATCACGCCCAGCAGACAGGAGATGATGGATGGGCCACGATAGCAACTGAGGAAGCAAGTGAGCCAAGGTCATGATTACCCAGGAGGAACATTGCTGCATGGCGGGAAGAAAACTGCCTCACTTCATACTTTCAAGACTGAGGTCACAAACCCTAGGTGCAGTGGGGTCTCTTTGTCCGTAAGTGGTTCCAAAAGAGCTGGATCTGAAGCCTAGGACTGAAGTGTCACACGGTGAATAGTGCACTTTCCTAGGAAAGTCCTATTCACTGTTTTCCTGTCCTTTCCATGGACCTCACCTCACAGCCTGGCTGTGGTAGATACTGGCCCAAGACTGTTGTCCCTTGCTGTCTCTAGGCTCCTTCAGGTTGCTGTCCATTCTTATGTTTACAGGGACATGTAGGTTCAATGGCACTTTGGTCTTCCTGAGCTGGTCCCATGCGTGTCCATTATGCATGGTGGTATCATGTATAATCAGAAAAGCCTGTGACTGCTCATTGGATTTGTGGTCACTGTATTTCCTTAGACAGAATTTAAAAATCTAAGCAAATCCTGAAGTTGGGTTGCAAATGATAAAACAGGATAAGAATAACTCCACAAAGAATACCTATAGGGTCTGGATGGATGACTCAGTCAGTAAAATGTGTTCCATACAAGGACCTGAGTTTGGTCCTTAGCAACCATTTTTAAAGCAAGGCATGGCAGCACATGTCTGCAACCCCTGAGCTGGGTTAGTAGAGACAGAAGGATCCTTGAAACCTGCTGGGCACCATCTTGCTGAATCCATGAGTTCCAGGTTTAGTAAGAGACTCTGTCTCAAAAGAGTAAGGTGAATGACCTAGGAAGATACCCAGTGTTGATCTCTGGTATCCACATACATACATACATACATACATACATACATACATACATACATACATGTGAACACAGACACATGCAAAACAGCAGCAGCAGCTGTAGGCAGTAGACAGAACCAAGTACTGAAAAGGGGCTCAGAGAACATGGCTGGTGAGCTTACAGGTTGGGTCTGATACAGGGAGAGGAGTCTGCTCTGCAGCCCCAGGGTATGTGATAACCTGGGGCTATCAGTGAGCCTCTCTTTGACCTCACAGATGGATCTGTACCTTGGATCCCAAAGTCTTAGATAGATGCCTTCTCTAATCACACATGAAGCCCCTTCTGCACACATGAAGTTCCTTCTAGTTGCTAGCCCTGCTTTCCTAGAAAGAAGCCACTTGGCCTGGAGACCTAAGGACCCACTGTGCTTCTGGAATCTGGAACTCTCTTGAAGGTCAGCACAGTGACAGGCCAGCAGCACTCTCTTAAAGTACCCAGGAAGCAGAGAGTCGGAGAATAGAGACAGAGATCAAACAAAGATATAGAGATAGATATATAAAGAGACAGAGACATACAGAAGGAGTTAGAGATCCCATCTTTAAAAAATCAGGTGGAAACATACATAAAGACATAGGCAGAGGTGAGGAGACAGAGAGGTACAGACAGAGTGATGGAGCATCCCTTAGCTCTCCTTTCAAGCCATCATGGGCAAAACTGGTATTGACATTAGAATGCTCATGACCAGTGGGGCCTTGGGCCTGGCTGGACCTCTGGGACTCACAGAGTTTTGTCATTGTGAAGGCTCATCCTCACACATGTCATCCTCTCCTGGCCCTGCACTGGCTGTATGGTGTAGCTCCTCTGCACTTACAGCCAGGTATTTTGTAAGATGCCAACATTAGTTGACTTTGACACTTTGCTTGATACCTGGTTTGGTAAGAGAGTGGCTCTCAGTGGGAATTTCTCATGTGTGCATCACTCATTTCAGCTGTAAAAGAAACAAATTGACTTCAAATTCAGCTCAACATTTGGACCCCCACCTTGGCCCCAACACCCATACACAGGAAGCCTCTGCCTGCCAGGTGGTCAGGGGATTGTACATGCCTATGTTCCTGCACTTTACCATATCCTTGTAGAGAGGAAACAGCTTTGATGGAGGGTAATTGCCTTGTCAGCTGCCCCCTTTGCCACCTGCTGGAACATGGCAGTATATGGACTATTCATGGCTGGGGTTTATGATGGGTCTTGTGGTGTCCTGGCTTTCTGGGAAATATGCCTCAGCCTGATGTCTTCAGGTATAACTGTTTTATGTCCAGAGTATTGACACTCCCTCCCCCAGGCCTTGCCTGGCTCCCTAGGGTCCTTCCCAAGCCTCAGGTGACCCTAAGTCTGGCTGCCTTACCATAAGGGCTAAGTCAAAGTCCCACGTGGCTCAGAGAGGTCAGCTGCTGTCACAACCCTGTCATGCCTAGCTTAGAGCTTGGAACTGTACTGTCTTCAGTGTCAATCTCTCTAATCCCATGTTCATTGAAGCCCCATCTTAATATCTGGGTGAGGAGAGGGAGGCACAGAGAGCCTAGCACCACTTCCTTCAACCCTATGCTTTGTAACCCATCCTACAGAGGTGCTCACAGCTGCCATCCCCAGTCAGCTCCCCAGGTCCCAGAGGGGTTAATTCTCAGGCAGACACTTCCTACCCATCAGCTAAAGCAGTTTTGCAGATGGTCTCAGTGTGCCCAATTGGCCCTCTGACTCAGGAGGAAAACCACTTAATAATCTTCCATTTCTTTCTGACTCTCACCCTCCACCATTGCAACACCAGTGAACAGATGCCAGGAAATTCTGAGGCTGCCTCTCAGTCCGGCGGGTGCTCAGAACTGAGCTGCCTCATCTGTGTGAGCCTTCTGCCTCTTCTTTGAGCCCCATTTTTGGTAAGTCATTCCTGTTAGTCTCCAGCTCAGATAAATACCACTTGTGCTTTCCTCCTGGATGTGTGGAGGTGGCAAGATAGTCATGCACTTCACGTCCCTGCCAAGGAGTGGGCTGCCTGCCACAAGGCCACACACTTGGCATGGGAGTGTCTGTCTTCTGATGATCAGTTTGGTTATGGCTTTTCCTTGCCCCCACCCCACAAAAATCCTGGCTGCATGTATAAACTTTAAAAGAGAATTCAGAGGGACTTAGCTTCTGATGAGGGCTGGCACAAGCTGGACCAGTAGTTAGTGAGTAGGAAGGAGATGTCTTGTCACCTTGCAAAGCCAGATAGGTTGGTGTTTTCCAAAGCAGCTGGGAAGGTTCCAGCCACAGGGTCTGGGGACCTCACCTGTTCTCAGAGCCATTTTCTGCAGGATTCAGAGGTGGCAGACCCTTGTGTCTGCTTCTTTATAGCCAGCATTGCTGAGCTCAGGGGCCAGGAGGCAGCTCTGCCACAGCATCAGGAATCACTTGAAACTCCCTGGAGGTCTCCCATGGGCCACCTGCTTAGGCAAGCTTCCTCCTCTATCCCCATCACCCTTGCCTTCCCATTCCTGGCATAGCTGTGGCTTCAGTATGTCTGGAATTTGCCAGGGTAGTGAGCTGGGGATATGTATGGTTGGGTTGGTGGGTGTGTCTCAGGGTTTGCAGTCTCTTCCAACAGGAAGGCTGCTTCTTAAGTGTGGAAACAGCTTCCAGAAGGTTCCAGCTATCCATGGCTGACATATTTGACAGACACTGGGTCATTGTCCACCAGAGCACTGACAGTGGCAGAATACAGCTTCACACTCACCCTAGTTGAAGGTGCTTTTCATGGTTTGGAGGCTCATATTGGAGAAGAGCCCCAAATCCATGAAGCCCATAGAATCTGGATGAGCCCTGAAATTCTCAGATCAGGAGTTTCTGGGACTTCAGCTTGCTGGGCTTTCAGACACACGGATTGGGACAAGCAGATGTTGGATCATGGATCCTGAGTCTGATGATGAGGACAGCATATCCCTTGTTTGATGTCCATGGGGCCCTTCTGGCTACCCAGCCTCAGATTAGCAGGAATTTGCCTTAGATCTGGGTGGGCTTTATGACCTTCTGAGCCATAGCTGTGCCCGAGTCTACCCTAGACCAGTCTGTCTCAGGAAATGGGCCCAGATCCCCAGAGCTTCTATGAGGAACACACCTACACAATAGGTTTGCTCCTCTCAGACCCCACATGAGGTCACACTCTGTCTATTCTCCTTGCCTGAGGCAGCCAGGCTGTAGGCTGAGGGCCTGGTCCTCTAGCCACCCTGTGAAGACCTCCAAGTGTGAACATACAACCCACTAGCTCCCACTCAGACTGAGTGGGCACAGTGTCTCTGTGGTCCCAGGGGCCTACTAAACTCCATGTGGGGGCGGGGGACAACTTGGGGGAGCGGCAGCTTGGGAGGCCAGAAGTTCCAGAAGTCCCTGAGGGCACCCAACTTCCGCCTCTGCCTTCTCCCTGTCTAGAGGGGGATTTTAAAGAATGATCTCAGCTTTGTGGGCGTGCATACAGGTCAGAGTCCCACTCTGTTCTTCACTGAACTTTATGGCAAGCCCTAAAAGGGACCTTTTTCTCATGCTTCTCCCCAGCCAGAGGCCACTCTTCCCTTTGACCCCCAGGCCAAGTCATAGAATTCTAGGTGTCCTTTTGTTAACCAGCCATGGGTGCCACAGCTAATGAAGCCAATGAGAGTGAGATCAAGGCAAATACCAGTCCTTGCCCTTAGGTGAGGGGCACAAGATCAGCTTGTTCTTGGTTAGGACCAGGGTAACAGGGACTTTCATAGCTGGAGAGGTATTTCTGTAAGCATCTAGTGTGGGAGGAACATGGAAGTCTGAATGTAGGATTTATGGAGGAAGAGAGAAGCAAAGAGTGAGGAGGAAAAAAAAACTAGACTCTGGTTCCCTCAAGAAGCTGGGGCTTCCCATTCACATGGTATCCATTCTCTCTTTAGTGGAGATTTTGAGATAACAGGCTAGAAGAGCCCAGGGGATGGCCAGTTGGGTCCTTTGAATAACCTAGCTCTAGGAGCTTTTGTCTTGCACTGGGCCCACAGGAGCAGCTCAGTTCAGAACCTGACATGAAGACCCATAATGCAGAGAGCCTGTACATCCTTCAGAAACCATAGCTCTGAGAGGCCTTTCTTCAGTAGTTGGTTTTGGTACTGGTTGCTAGGCACAGCTTGATAGTACATCAGGAGGGTCTGTGGTAGATCAGCCTCTCCAGATTCTCAGAGTTGCCCAGGCTAAGCCACGGCAGTGCTAATATAGATGTGGGCCAAGGATTTAAGAAATGGCAGCTCAGCAGAGGTGGGACCAGTGGCCAGTGGCTGCCAACCAGGCTGAGGTAAATACAGACAGCTGTGACACTTTCATCCACAAAAGCCATGGGTGTCATGCTCAAATTTGGCACCATCTGCTGTTATTTTTCTCATTGCTGTGATAAAATAGTCATCTAAAGCAACTAAAGGAAGGAAGTGTTTTCACTCACAGTTCATGGTTACAGTCCATGCTGTAACCATGGGGAGGCATGGCGGCGGGAACTTGAAGGTGGCGGTCAGAGAATGGCAAATACATGCTAGTGTTTAGCTGTTTTGTCTACCTTACACAGTCCGGGGTCCCCTGCCCAGGGAATGATCCCAAGTCACAATTAAGACTTCTCACACCTGTTAACGCAAACAATTTCCCACTAGCATGGCCAGAGGCCTGCCTCCTAGAGACAGTGACACTCATGTTTGGGTTATGTCTTCCTTCTGCAGCTAAAATCTTTCAAGTTACACCCACCTAGACATACCCACAGGTGTGTTTCCATGTTGATTCTAAATCCAGTGAAGTAGATGATAAAGATTAGCTATCACAGCAAGGGAATTAACACAGTTCAGTGGGGCCCAATAGAACCCTGGAGACCTGAGGGTCGACTGTCATTCACTGCACTGATTGTTTTGTTCCTTATCTCTACCTGGGCAGGTGATACTGAGACTAGCATCTTCTCTTTGGATAAATTGGGGTGGGGGGTAAAGCTCTCTCCCTATATCTGTGGGCAGATAAAGCTTTAGTTCTTTATTGGCAAAGGGAGTGCTGGGCTGAATTGCTCTGCTGTCTGCCAGCCCCTCATCCACCAGTGGTCTCTCTTTTCTTTGTACTGATTAGCATCTGGTGGGACACATTAAGGCTATGGACATGCCCTGCACCCCTTCAAGCTTTTGCTGTGTCTGTGTGGGTAAGCTATACCTCTGTAGTTTTTTTTTTTAAACTCTTTGATGGCCCACCACCCATCTCCCAAATAAACACACAGAGACTTATTCTTACTTATGAATACCCAGCCTTAGCTTGGTTTGTTTCTAGCCAGTTTTTCTAACTTAAATTATCATGCCGGGCAGTGGTGGCTCATATCATTAATCCCAGCACTTGGGAGGCAGAGTCAGGTGGAACTCTGTGAGTTTAAGGCCAGACTGGTCTACAAAGTGAGTTCTAGACAGCCAGTGCTGTAACACAGAGAAACCCTATCTTGAAAAACAGCAACAAAACAAAATAAAAATTATCCCATCTCTCTTCAACTACGTTTGTCTCTGGACTTTTACGTCTCTTTATTCTATATATCTTTCTTTACTTCTTTTTCCGTGGCTGGCTGTGTGGCTGACCTTGGCCCCTGGTGTTCTCCTCTCCTTTTCTCCTTCCTCTTCTCTCTTCTTGGGCCTTGATGTCTTCTATTTATTTTTTCTGTCTGGCAGCCCCACCTATCCCTCTCCTGCCTAACTATTGGCAGCTCAGCTCTTTATTAGACCAATAAGGTGTTTTAGACAGACAAAGTAACACAGTTTTACAGAGTTAAACAAATGCAACTTCCAAGAATGCAACACATCTTTGCATCATTAAACAAATGTTCCACAGCATAAGCAAATGTAACACATCTTAAACTAGTATTCTACAACACACCTCCATGTCATTTTGTAGACCTCTTTCCAGACTCTCACCAAGTGGGCCCTTCTTCATACGCCATAGTACTGGTGACCATTGAAACTGCCTGTCAGGGCCTAAAAGTAGCAGATGAAACTGGAAGAGGGTGTGACCCACACATGTGTGAGAAGTCATGATGGATATGTACATGGTTACTCACTAAGGGGTATCCACCAGGACTTGGACTGGCTTTTCTCTTTCCAGTTGTCACATTTCAGCTGTTGAATATACAGGGTCCTTACAAGATGCCATAGTCCTGGCTGTAGAGGCAGCCACTTTTAGCCTATGCTGTTTGGGGATGGGCATGGTCTGCTGGAGCAGACCCAGATAGAGTCCTTCTATCTAGGGCCTATTGTTGGGCTGCCTTCTGGTGTTTTCCAGACTGTTTGGAACAAGAAGCTAAAAATCCACAAGACTAAACAGTTTTGATTCAGTTACTATGGTGGTTCACAATGTCAGGGGTTCTCCATTGTCAGCTTTCAGACAGTGGTTGGCACAGTGACTGGGAGTCTTGGGCTGAAGTGGAAGGGGAAGGGAAGGCTGTTTTGGCAAACCATCTGAGAAAGCCTGGGTCCTCTGAGGGTAGCCAGCACATCCTGATTTCCAGGGTCACAGTCATCCCCACATCTCTGTCCTTGTGCCTTTCTAAGAGGTTATCGATGTTCCCTGATGATGATATCTGTGTGGGTTGAGGAAGGGGTAAGATGGATTCCATTCCAGAGAGAGGCAGACTCAAATCTGAACAGTCAAATGAGCAGCAGATGGCAGCCTGGCCCTCCCTAGGCAGCCACAGGAACACCCTGCTGTCTTTATCTACATTGCCAGTCAGAGCAAAGCTCAGCCTACAGGCCTCTGTCCCACAAAGTGAAGAGTAGAGGGCTAGGAGATGAGTAAGGCACACCTCCGGGCTGTATTTATGTAGATGGGGCCAGAGAGCATTAGCTAACCAGGGAAGACCTGCTCTGAAGACCAGGGTGGAATAAGAGGGTACATAAGGAGAGAGAGGGTGTGGTGGCCATGCCTGTACTCTAGGGGATCAGAAGTTAGTCTGAGCTGCTCAACTCTAAAAAAAGGGGATTCAAGAGGGGCAGTCTAAGAGCAAAGGCATGTTCCCTCCCCTTCCTGGATACCATAATGTGAGCAGCATTGCTTCACCATAGTGAACTGAAGCCATGGTGCCAAAGGTCTCTCTTCTGTGATAGTTAATATTGACTGTGAACTTGACAGGATCTAGAATCATGCAGACACTTGAGGTCACACCTATAAGGGATTATTGAGGTTAGATGAACTAAGGCTGGAAGATCCACCTATTGTGAATAGTGCCGTTTACTGGACTGAATAAAAAGAGAAGCGGCTGAGCACCAGCATCCACTGTTCTCTGCTGTCTAGCCTTGGATGTGATGTGACCAGCTGCCTCAAGTTCTGCCATTGTGATTTCCTAGCTTTGGTGGACCATACCTGGAACCGTGAACCACAATAAATATTTGATCACAGTAATGAGAAAAGTAACTCATATAGAGACCTATACGTCGTTTATTGAGGTGTTTGTCACAGTAATTAAAAAGTTGAGGGGCAATACTGACTGCCTCACCTGTGTATGAGTGTGGCTTTATCTGGAAATTGTCTGTGCAGATATGATCAAGTTAAGAAGAGGTTATCTGAATTGGGTAGCTCTAAATGCTATGATTGGAGGGGGCCCAAGTAGAGGAGGGGTTGCTGGAGATAGCACTGGAGAGAAGTCATATCAAGAGAGAAGCAGAATTAGGGTGACCTAGGCCAAGGGACACTGGTCCCCCAGGAGGCTCTGTGTAAGCTGTGGTAGGAGTGGCTCTGATACCTCAACCTAGGAATTCCAGCCTGCAGAACTGGAGAAGTCAGTTGGTTCTCTTGCTTTGTCCCTGGGATCCCAAGCCATGGACATAGCAGAGAGTAGACATGTGTTCCTCCCTCTGTGTGCCCAGGTTCCATAGAGAAACTCTTAGCTCTTCTCTTACCTCTTTTATGGTTGCTATAGGTATAGGACTCAAATGGCCAGTCTGTTGCTTCTTTCAGCTGCCAGTTTTGCTCTCTTCAAAAATCTCTGATGACTCAGAAGTATAAGGGCAGGACTCCTGCCTCTGTGTCCCCAACCTGCCCCAGGGATGGAGAGGAGAGGGTATGGGCCCTGCTGCTACCATCACTGGGAGGCAGCCACATGGTACTGAAGAATAGCTCGGTGGTTGCTTCTGGGAGTGGCCATGTGGCCACTGAAGGTGGATAGCAGCATGGTCCTTGTAGGAATCATATCAATTGGTATCATTGAGAAATACGGCAAGTCCTACCTTCAAGTTGCAGCCTGTACCAGCTGGCCCACCACTCTCTTCTAGATTGGAATCCACAAAGTGTCTGTGTTGAGCAGGTACACCCCAGGAGGGCATGTGGGCAGCATGAAGCCCACCTATGTTTGTCTGCTGCTTCTCATCCACCCTGTGGTGGTTTGAATGAGAATGGCCTCCATAGGCTCATGTGTTTGAATGTTTGGTTCCCAGTTGGTGGACTGTTTTAAAAGGTTTAAGAGGTGTGACCCTGTTCAGGGAGGTATGTTACTGGGGTGTGAACTTTTTTTTTTTTTCAAGACAGGGTTTCTCTGTATTGTTTCGGAGGCTGTCCTGGCACTCACTCTGTAGACCAGGCTGGCCTTGAACTCATAAGAGATTTGCCTGCCACTGCCTCCCAAGTGCTGGGATTAAAGGCATGCTAGACCACCACCACCACCACCACCCAGTAGTGGGCATGAACTTTGATGAGGTTTCAAAAGCCCATGTTAGGCCCAGTCTCTCTTTCTTTCTGCCTCATGCTTGTGGATCATATGTGAGCTCTCAGCTGCTTCTCCAGAACTATGCATGTCTGCCTGCCTCTTGCCATACTCGCCACCATGATGGCTGTGGACTCACTGAAACTGTAAGCAAGTCCCCATTAAACACTTTTCTAAGTTGCCTTGGGTATGGTGTCTCTTCACAGCAATGAAAAAGTAACTAAGACACCCTTTGGGGATCACACATGGAAAGATAGGTCACACCACATGAGTTCATTTGCCCTGGTGGGTGAGCACTTCAGGTCTTCTTATCCTGTCTGGCTGATTCTGTGTCCTATAGGTTTTTCTTCACAAACTTTGGTTGTGTCCATGTGATGAGAGGGAGGCTCCAGAAATACCCTGCAATGACCTGGCCTCATGAGGACCACAGAAGACAGCCTTAGGACATGTCTTAACCCAAGGACATCAACCACTAGAACTCTGAATCTATAATGTCCCATTTCTCAGCATGAGGACCCATGTTTTGAGTGTCAGGACAACTCAGCCTCTGGAAGGGCAGTGGTTGGATTCTTCTCACACCTTAAGTGGTGCACACAGAGGGTATGGGTCATTCAACCCCTAGGACCTGTCACTCAGCCCTTGGGCTGGGGATAATGGAAGCCAGAGAATTCTCTTAGAAACCATCAGGATGGAAGTGTTGAGTGAATAGAACCATTAGGAATCTGTCAAGAGCAGGCCAGCTTGAGCTGGAACTTAAGGGGACTGCAGCACATGGCTGAGGAGGGACTTTGGGAGGCCAGAGCTCTGCAAAACACCAAACAGTTGGAAGCATCAACAGTAGATAAACAAATTGTGGCCTGGCTACAGTGTGGAACATGTAGGGGTGAAGCGCTGACCCATACCTCACACAGGTAGTCCCTGAGAACTTGGTGTAGAGGGACAGAAGCTAGCCACTGCATATGTGACCTGTTAACCACACAGGACATTCCACATAGATGAAGAACAGATTGTTGGATGCCAGGGCTGGAGGAGCTTAGAGGATATGGAATCTTTGAGAGACAAAAATACTTTGGAACTGTTAAAAGGCAATGGGCAAAATGCCAGTGATTATACTTTTAAAGAGTCAATTTTATGCTAAATTTCACCTAAAAAATGAGAAGAGACTTGTCAGGGGATGAGTAGTACATGTATGTCACATGCATATTTTATGTGTGTGCATTTGCCTTGGCTATGACTGTTCCTACCCTTTGGGGGCTGATGTTAAACAGTTGGTTCCTGAAGCCTGAGATTTAAGTGAGTGAGTCTCATTCCATAGTACACATCAGGTATGCCCTGTTGCTCCCCCAATACTCCCCTCTATCCTGTATCTTTCCTTTTTTCTGGCTGGTGGTTGATTTTTGTCCCTAAGTGCAGGTCCTTTCTTACAAACTTCTAGAATGCAGAGCATTTTTGCATTAACAAAATGTGGTTTCTTACCTCTGACTACGACACACTCTGCCCAACCTATGGTTCCACCTGTGCAGAGTATGGAACTTGCAGAATCTACTCACATTGTACACCTAGGGCTGCTGTGCTCCAGGCCGTAGCCCCCGGGGCCACAGGAGTTGTTGGGAAGCTGAAGGCAGATGGAAGGGGCTTGGAATAAAGCCCCAATAGGAAGATAAGACTTGAGACAGAAAAGTGGAAACTACGAAAGGAATTCCAGAGGAATAACTACTACAAGAAGCCAGAAGGGGGGGGGGGTTGCGGGGAGCCAGGGCCGGCACTTCCCTTTCTAGACTGTAAAGCCTTAACTGCTCTCTGAAAAGGACTTCAAAAACAGTAAAAAAGTAAAGACCATGGCTCTGCCCTTGAGATGTGGCCAAGGGTTAGTAGCCCAAGGGCTGCTTGTTCCCTTCTTACCTTACCCTAACCTGTGGCAGAGCTTGGTAGATATGTACGACCTAAATGAATTAAAGCTGCTGACTCAGTTTCCCAAGTAGTTCATGAGCACCAAAGAAGCTGTAAATGGTCAGATGGGTCACTCAGCTCAGAGGGAAGCCAGTGTGGCCTCTGCCCCACGCATGGGTAGTCAGCAGCCAGTACAGTTTCACCTCAGTTTGCACTCAGATGGGTACTGCTACTGTATTGCAGTCTCTGGAAGTGTCAAGGCAGGCCGGGGTCCTCATGAAGAAGTAAAGAATAGCTTGGGGTCCCCCACTGCTTTCCTGAGCCTGAGGTGGGATCTGAGCATTAACTCTCCCAGGAATACCCCCTGCAGCTGAGGGATATCCAGATACAAGTGCAGCTCCCCTGCCTCCCAGTGAGGGCCTTTCAATTTCTCTGCCAGCAGGTGCGTAACCCCCTGCTTCACTGGAAAGGAGAGCCAGCCTTTGGGAAGCCACCCACTCTTGAGCAGCGCCTCCCAGCAACTTAGCCACGTGTTCGAGTTCCTGAGGATCGAGCAAGAAGGAAAGCCAGACGGATGCTTAGCCTATGAGGGCAGCAGACTTTGAGTCCTGACAGAGAAGGAGAAGATAGCTCAGTCCAAACCCCTTCCCCCAGGCACAGCAGGGTTAAGTGTCTGTGAGCAGAGAGGGAATCCCAGGCCGCCTGGAACTTGAGACTTCCCAGCTGAGAGCCAGCTCAAGTGAGCGAGATGCAGACCCAGACATGCTACAGCGGGCACCGAGGTTGCGAATGCAGGCCTTGAGGATAGCTGCCACCACAGCCCCACAGCAGCCATGCCACGCTCCAACTCTGGTAAGCGGAACGACAGGCGCCAGCTTCGGGGGCAATAGGGATTGTGGGCTGCCGTTTGTTAGGAGTTCAGATCTGGTGCGGGCAGGGCAATCTGTGTTTCTTATTATTAATACATTCAGACTTACAAGCCAGTCATGTGAGCTTGAAATCTGGAAACATCTTCAAGGCAAAACAAAGTGTTTTATTTTCCTGCTGAAGATTCCAGTTTGCTGGATCAAAGTCTGGGGACTCAGAAGGCAGATTTGCTCGATAGGAAGGAAGAGAGTTCTGGGCACACCTTGGGTTTGGCATTGTGAGGGCCTCATTGATGGCTGTTGTGAGTCTTCTGTGATACTTCCTAGGTGTCAGGATTATCTGTCAATACTGGGTATTGATGCCACAAACAGACTTGGTTAACTAGACATTCTATTCCATGTGCCTGTCGTCAGTTTTTTTTTTTTTTTTTTTTTTTTTTTTTTTTTTTTTTTTTGGCAGAGTAGTGGGGTGGGAAGGCTGGGTTCTCCCAACCCACTAACCTGCCAACCAGACCAGACAGTTTACAACCACATACGATCTGCTTTAGGTATCTGCTCCTGTTAACCACCATTTTTATGATATTTCTAAGTACTGGTCTCTTCACGACCCTTTCCCTTGGATGGGACTCAAAGCAGGCCCCTTCTGGTAGTTATTTGATGTGTCTGCTTCCCATTAAGAAGTTGGGCCATGAACGAAAGTGACAATCGCGGTTTCCAAGCATAAACTTCCTGGAACTCTCTCGGAAGGCTCCTCCATGGGCACAGCTGGAGCCAGAGCCTCTGCATAGGATCTGCCTCAGTATTTCTCAGCAGGGTGATGGTAGTAATGAGGGATAGGACCCTGGCTTGTTACTGAAAATTCATAGAGGGGGAAAGTGGATGGGGCTCACCTGAGGCCACCCTCAGCATCAGCCTTGCATTCCCTTAAAAGTGTTACACTTTGTGCAGAAACCTGGGGTAAATGCATGCATGAGTGGTGCCCATTTGCCCATGATTCCACATGCCCTCTGGTATCCCCAGGGCATATGTATTTTTTTTAAAAACAGGCCCAGATCAACAGTTGCCATTCCAGTGTGGTTGCATTAAGGACACCAGACTGTCTGAGTGCCCTTTGGCCTGCATGATGAGCACGTCAGATGCCAGGCTAGAAGGTGTTCAATGTCTTGTGCCATTCCCCAGTGTCCAGCTGCTATGTGTCTCCTTCCAGCCCTGGTCCTCCATCATACTGACAAAGCCAACCATTCTCTCAGATGGATGTGGGAGCTGCAGGCCCTGGACCTTGTTTGTCCCCTGTTTCCTGCTGCTACTCTGTCCCCTCAGCTTTGTGTCTGTGGGTTTTTTCTGTGTGAACTTGTAGGTTTTCACAGCTCTTCCTTCTTGAGAAGTGGTGTCCTAATCTAAAGAGTTCAAAGACTGTCCCGAGCCAGGAACTGCTCTCCTCCATACCCCAACCCTTGATGAAGGTTACTCTTTAGTGCTCACACTGCTCCTGCCTCCAATTCCACGATTCCCCTGCCTGGAGTGGATAGCTGTCTAATTCTAGCACTCTTCTTACTGTAGCAAGAAGGCCACTCTTCTCCAGGTATAGAAGGAACAAAGCAATCTGCTTAGAAGCTGCACTCTGGATGCATTCCTCTGTGGCTTGAGCTCTGCACTGGCCAAGCTGGGGTACTATCTCTGCTTAGGGCTGCACCTCCCTCAGAACCAGCTTGAAGACCCCACAATAAGGTCTCTCACTGTCCTGTTTGTCCTCAAAGCCCTCATTTATTTGGAGCAACCATTTGAATGTGTGTAGGCACTTTGCTGTGTGTTTTCTTGCTGATGGTTCTGGGGTACCATCCTCTGTGAGTGTTTCAGCTATTCCCAGCTGATGACATCTGGTCTTGGCTTAGGTGGCATGGATGCAAATCACCCGTAAGGCTCTCAACTTCAGTGCATTTGACAGTGCCAGGACTGCTCTTTGAGGCCTTCAGCATTGCTATCTTCTGTATGCTGGGTGGTTTGAGTGGCGCCTTTCCATCCTCACAGACCCCCAAACAACTGAGAAAGGGCAACAGTTATAACCTTGCCTTATGGTCAGTGAAATTTGGATCTCAGAGAAGTGTGGATACTGGCCAGAGCCACCTGGCCAGGAAGCTGCTGAGCCCTGCCTGCAGCTCAGGGCTGTTCCACTACAAAGCATCTGCCTTCCAGATGGTATCTTCAAAAAAAAAAAAAGATTTATTGAGATACAACCCAAGTAGTGTACAGTTCTCCTTATTGAAGTGGATTGTGAATCGATCTCTGGGTTTCTGTGTCCTTGCAGAGCAGGGCACACATTACCACTTTCGTTTTAGTGTTTTCCTCACTCCAAACAGAGCCCCATCTTCATTAAGCAGTCAGCCCAAGTCTCCACCCCTAGCCATCTTTTATTTGTGTCTGTCTGGACACATCTTATGAGCAGTCACATGGCATTCTGCCCACATGCCTGGCTATTCTCATGGTGTCAAACTCTGAGGTTCATCCCTATAGCCTCCATCACTGCAGATGAGATCTGAACATGCTGCTCTAAGCCCACTAGACTTGAGGATTGTCTCTAAGGAATGTCAGCTTCAGTGGCTTTGACTGGTGTGGCCAGTGCCACACTTGAGAGGGTGGCCTCATTGTCTGCCATGTATAACCTTGTTCTACCACGATGCTTCAGTTTAAGCCTCACCAGGTAATCAGAAGACTGTGCCCACCTGGAAGCTTCCAGCTATGTAGTCTTTAGGCCTGAGCTGCTGATTGTGTTCAAAGTGTGGCCTCTGGCTGGTTTTCTTCTGGAGAGGATCCACTTGGTCATTAAGAGGAATTTGACCCTTGAAACTATAAAAGGTCTCTGCCACCTATACATATTCTCGAGGCATTTTTACTTCTGTTGACAGCATCTCATGTAGTATATTCTGGGCAAACCTATGGTGTAGTTGAGTATGACCTTAAACTTTCTGTGATCTCCCTCCCTAGCACTAAGATTACAAGTGTAGGGCATCACACCAACTTTGTGGGGTTTGGGGAGAAACCTATGGCTCCTTGAATGGTAGACGAGCACCAGTCCTGGCCTGGGAGCATTTAAAAATAGCGCTCGAGGCAAGCGTCTCAGGCAAGGTTGGCAGATGAATATCAGTAGACAGGGAAAGAGTGCTGGAGGTACTGAGTGCAAGTTCTGAGGCCGTGTCTGTGCTTCGGTGACTGGATGGATACTAAAGCCTGCATGAGATAGAGGGCCACAGCAAGTGTGCAAACATAATCAGCAAGAAAAGGCATTGGTTTTTTCCCCCATTTTTTGAATTAGAAACAGGATTATTTTACGTGTCAATCCCAGTTCCCACTCCCTCCCCTCTACCCTACCACCACCCCCCAACTAAAACCCTACCTACCCTTTCTGCTCCTCAGGGAGGGTGAGGCCTTCCATAAGGGGTCATCAGAGTCTATCGTATCCTTTGGGATAGGGCCTAGGCCCACCCCGTGTGTCTTGGCTCAGGGAGTATCCCTCTATGTGGATTGGGCTGCCAACCAAAGGAAGGAAGGAAGGAAGGAAGGAAGGAAGGAAGGAAGGAAGGAAGGGAGGAAAGGCAAAGAACCAACAAATCTAAGATCTGGTTCTTTGAGAAGATAAGCAAGATGGAGAAACCTAATCCCAACTAACCAACTGAAAGTAAGCAAAGACCCAAATAACAGAACCAGAAGAAAAAAAAGAAAAAGTCAGAATATTGTAAGGGAATATTTTTAAAACCTGCACTCCATTAAGCTGGAAAACATAAAAGAAATGGATGAATTTATAGACTCATCCAAACTATAAAAATTAAACCAGGAAAAAGTCAAACCTAGTCAAACCCATTAAAAATGAGGAGATTGGAATAGTGTGGTTGTTTGACGAAGAATGGCCCTTTAGGCTCAGACATTTGAACACTTGGTCCCCAGTTGGTGGAATTGTTTGGGAAGTATGAGGGGGTGTGGTTTTGTTGGAGGAGATATGACCTAATGGAAGAGGTGTCCTCTAGGGATGAGTTTGAAGTTTCAAGCCATTCCAGTTGGCTCTCACTCCCTGTGTCTTGTAGTTGTTGTTTCAACTTTTAAGTTCTCAGTTAATTCTCCAGTGTCTGTCTGTCCACCTGCTGTCATGCTCACCACCCTGATGGTCATGGACTCATCCTCTGAAACTATAAGCAAGCCACCAACTAAATGCTTTCTTTTATAAGCCTCCTTGGTAATAGGGTCATTGTTTTATAATATTATTTTAACTATGTAAAGATGTGTTACCTTTGTTTATGCTTATTACTTTAACTGTGCAAAGGTGTATTACATTTGTTTATGCTGCATTTGTTTAATGATGTAAGGATGTGTGTTTAATTACGTAAAAAAGAAAAAAAAGAAAAGTCATTGGAGCGGGGCCCTAGTGGCACATGCCTTTAATCCTAGCAGGAGGCAGAGATCTCTATGAGTTTGTGGCCAGACTGGTCTACATAGCAAGTTTTAGGTCAGCCATAGTGAGACCCCATCTTAGTAAAATGAAAAGTCACTGGACCCCAGAAGTCATGACTGGCTGGACCACCCCCTTGAGGCCAGTGTTCACACCAACTCATGAGTGTGGACAGAAAGACATAATCTTGGACAAGCTATACCACCAGGCCCCAGAGGCTCCCTGGAATTTGAGGTCACAGTCTTGGCAAGATTGAGGGTCCTGCTTCCAGGGACCTGAGGGGCCACCTCCCTCAGGTCAGCTACCCCCTAGTCATTGAGGATCTAAAACCACTCCCTGACAGCAGTGGCTGACAACTTTGGCAGGCACAGCCTATTTTCTTCTTACTGGCTGGGTCCCTGTGGAGAGAGACAGGTTGGATGGGTGCCAGTGTGCAGCAGGCTTGTCTCCCCTGAGCCCCTTCTCTGAAGCAGGGCAGCAGAGGATCTGTGTCTTTCCCTTCCCGTACACCTCACCTCCGTACCCCACTATGGGCAATTACTGCACTG